TAATTATAGGGTCACTGTATTTTATCTTTAAGAGGGAGCAAAGTAAAATAGGGGTGTAATCAAGATCACATATTCTAGTCAATGTGCGTTCCAGTTTTGTCATTTACCATCTGATCTCAGAAAAGTTATTCAAACAATTGGAATATTACTTCTCTTCTTCGCAAAATGGAAATGCCACCATCACCTACTTCATGGATTGTTCCAGATAATGGAGACTGTGTTCAGTTTTACCTCAGTGTGTGGCACATAGTAAGTCCTCAGTGAATAGCAGCCATTGTGACTACTACCTTACTACACCAAATAAAAGCTCAGTATTAGTCAGAAATTAAATGCTGCTGTCTGAAAAGAAACTTGGAAAATCAACCCAATCAGATTCTTGCCCAGTCAGAACTCAAGGGCCTTTGGCTAAAACTCAAGTCTTGGCTTGTTACAGTGACTGCCCACTCTCAGTTTAAAATTACATTGTCCTCTGGCCAACCGTGAGGCATAAAAACTCAAAACTGGTCTCCAGTCTTCCACACCGCCTGCTGAACAAAAGTAACCAGATCAGGTTCTTCTGGTTGGTTTCCCTTTCCCGCCAGCTGTCAGTTTTTAAAAAAGAAAACACTCCAGCAGGTTGGGAGAGTACTCTACACACCCCAAGCCCGGGTGCATTTATTGGTATCCAGTAGATGTTTCCTCCGTGGAGAATCCACTTCTTAACTTTACTCACTCCTCCTGATATAGAAAGCCTCAGAATTTTCCCTTTAATAGGGAGAGAGAATAGAGCAAGAAGTTAAAACAGAAGGAACCTATGAAAATCAAAGGTAAAATAAGATATGACAGTTAAATAATCACAGACAAGGCCTCCCTGGTGGCGCAAGGGGATAAGCACCACACTATGAAGCAATCCTTAGCCTCTGCAGCATGAGTTTGATCCGCGGCCTGCAAGGGAGCAGCTCACATGGCAAAGCAGACCTCTCCTGTCTCACCCGCTGCTCCCCTCAGCAGTGTATTTCATCAGTCTGCCTGTTCTATTCCCAGATCCATCTCTGGTGAATCCTCTTACCTCCCAGACCTCAAAAAACCAAAAAGCATAAGCACAGACAACCAAAACCAAGAAAATTGTGGGCATGGCAAAGGAGAAGACATCGTGTGAAGAGACCCTTTCCCGGATTAGGTGTTTTATAGTTCCTTGACAGAAAGTAGCTTTATCTTGCGGGTAGCTAGCCAATCAGTCTACTTACAACAAGAGGGCTACAGGAGACCACTGCCCTGTCCATGGAGAGAGCTGAGTTGACAAAATTTCCCTCATCTGTCATGGGTCTCTACAGATACACCATCAGTGAGAAGGTCTTCTGCTTTCTCTGCCACAGCACTATTAGGCGTCCTCACTCCTGGGGAATACTATCCTTGGGATCACATACGGCTGCGTCAACTGCAGTCTACTAACACCACAGTAATGACATCAGTCAGGCCTGTTAATATTAACAGCCTCCTGCTTCAGAGATCTTGTGTTGTATGGCCCCCTTATGTACATAAGAGATTACTCCATCTTAGGTTCCAAGGCCCAGGGGCCTGTTTGAGATTAATTTATGCAAAAACACAGGCAAGTCTGACCCATCTGATTCCAATGGCTGTGCTATGTCCACGCTCACAAATTTAACTCCAAAGAGCTACTTTTAAAGGATATACTTGCTCTTTGCTTTTCCTGAGTTTTTAAATTATTTCACTATCGTTTTCTTACAGATTTATTTTAAAACAGAAGTTGGTCCATTTAAAACAGCTTAGTATTGGGGCCTCCCCGGTGGCGCAGCGGTTGAGCGCTGGGTTGCGAAGCTGCCAGCAGCCTCTGCAGCGCCGAGCAGCCTCTGCAGCGCCGGTTCAATCCCCGGCTGCTCCCCAGCCACCGGAGGAGGGTCCCACATGGCGCGCAGACCTCTCCTGCCGCCCGCTGCTCCCCTCAGCAGTGTACTTCGGACCTTCTGCCTGCTCTGCTCCCCGCTCTGGCTCTGGTGAATTCTCTCACCCTCCCGCGCTTCTGACTGTACCCAGTGCATGTATAAACAAAACAAACAAACAAATAAATAAAGCATGCCTCTATTAAAAAAAAAAAATTTAAAAAAAAAAACAGCTTAGTATTGGCCTTGTGTTGACAACTGAAGCTGAGTGATAGATACTAGGGGGATCATTATCTAATTCTCCACTTTTGTGTATTTTGAATTTTCCATAATAAAAGTTTGTTGTTCTTTGTTAAATTGGCTCTGTGGAAAGTTGGGTGAGTTAAGTCAACACTAATTGCTAAATCGAGCTCCAGCTCTCCAGGGAAGTGCCCGCACCGCAGCATCCCTGATGGCCTCCTGCTAATAGCAGCCCCTGCAGCTCCTCCCCACCTGCAGCCTCACCACGCTGTCCCAAGCCCAAAGTGGGGGTGGTGGTGGTCATTTTTACAGGGTCAGAACTATTCCGAGTCACTTTCTGACAAAGAGCACTTTTCCCAGCCTCCACCCCATCCCTGAGCATGTCCTCCCAGGTGTGGGAGATTTCACAAGGACAGCAGGGCTGCCATGCAAGGGCTGGCAGCAGTCCCACCCGCGCTTCTGCACCTCCTGGGTGTCTGGCTAGAACTGGAAGTGTTCGGCTAGAAAGATCAGGTAGGACAGGATGATTCCTCCAAACTCTACAGAGGGGGAAAAAAGGCACTCAGGTAAACAGTTCTAGTCTTATCTGTGTTTCTGTTCATCATCAATGACTTTCATTATCTCATATCCCCCACCTTTTTTTCCCCCTCGGTTATTTTATCCACTGAGATATAATTTCCTTGCTAAAAAAAGGAAATCAGAGAGTGAAAAAAGTGGGTGAACAGGTCATACTGATCTTTCCTGCTGCTACCTGTCACTCCCACAAGACAAACACAGGCCCCTACATGGTAGTACTCCTCCCTTTCCCAAAGGAGGGGCAGACCATGGCAGGGCGGGGTGAAGGGGGCTGGCAGTGCTGTATAACATGCTCCCTAGATAAAGGTCAGGAACCGCTGACACCAGCCTCACAAGGGAAAGGCACCCTTCAGGTAATTAAGTTTTCCTTGTAACTGCAAGAGTGGCTCCTTGGGAAGGCTGGCAGCTTCTCCAGCTGGATCCATTTGGTGGTGTGTCCATGGTGAAAACAAAGCCTGGTCCCAACATCCTGAAGGTAAAGAGCATGATAGCCAGTACAAATGATGAGGAAGAAGGCATCTTTTCCCTCTCAAGGGAGGGAGAAACAAAAATCACAAAAAATGAAAACAAACAAAACATCCAGGTGCATAGGAAGGAGACAAATAACGAGGCACATCCAAAGGTAAACACACGATTCTGCCCATCTCTGCCTCACTGAAGCCAAGCAAAGCAGCATAGGGCAGACTTAAAATGAAAACAAAACACTGCAAGTTCTGTACGTTCTTTCGCATCAAGACAATGCACTTTAAATAAAACCAATCTGTTCATCTATTAGCCCATGGGTTTGTGGCACCATCTTAATTGACTTAAAATAAAGAATGTCAAAAATCTTAAAATGAAGCAAAGGCAAAAATGGGCATCCAGATGTTAGGGGATGAGGCCTAAATTGACTAGCCAAAACCCACTGGCGAGCCGTGCTACTTTCAACTCAATAAATCATTTTAAAAAGATACACAAACAACATAAAAACCAAAGTGACTCCAGTAAGTAAATGCATAGTAGTAACAGAAGGTGTCATTTTGTCGGGTGAAAGCAGGTTCCTAAGGAATCCAACCAGCCTCAGAGCCACAGCTCAGTGACCCACCAGAGCTGAAGGCGTTTCTGGGCTTCTTCCTGGACGGGAGAGAACTCAGAACTGAAGAGTCTCAGATATTCAGTGCGAGGGACAGCAGTGGCCAAGAACTTACTACCTATTACATATTACATACAGGGTTTTAATTAAGTTTTAAAACTGTATGGAGAATATTCAGGGTGACTTTATTTCATGGAAAGAAACAAACAAAAACCCACAAACATGATTTTCCTAGACACCACACAGTGACTGGCACTTTTCATTTTTCTTATCACATTACACAAAGAAAGAAGAAATCAACAGAAACATACCAAAACACTCCCCCCTTCCCTTTAAATTAGCAGATTTAAATGACAACTTGAAGAAGCAATAATTTTGTTACACGTTGATTCAAACTATTTACACATTAAATTGCACTTATAAAGATAGCAACATTTCTATTATGGTTGTAGATTACTCTGCTTTATTGTGGTTTTATATCTTGATATAAAACTTTTAAAGCTTTCTTCAATAAAAATCACACTTTCTTTTGCAGTAAATAATTTACCCACTGAATTTCTGATCCAGCTTTCTCTTTTTGTGCTTTTCTGCTCTATTTTATGTTACAAATGGCACATACTTCCCGAGCAGGTAACAAGCAGACACTGCACTCATTATGAGAGATTCATTCATGAGAAGTTAACGTGTAAGAAGTAAAATATTAGCAGTCTAATCCTTTGGTTCACCATTTTTTAAAAAAATCAATTCATATAATTTACAAATCAGTGATAATTCTTCTTTTTTGGTTAAAAAGAAATCCAACACTGCTTTAAAAGTACCACATTCCGAGTCTCATCGCACTGCTTCAGGATGCTATTGTCTACACTTGGTTTGACATGACACAGAATACAGTAAGGCACGAGTGGATGATACAAATAAAAACAAATACTTTAGGACTTTGTTTCTGCACAAATACTAAAATATGTACCGTTCTCAAGATAAAATAACAAAAAAGAAATACATATATTTTGTTATGAAATACCTATACAAAATTTTTTAAATTTACACCATCTGAGCTGCCAAAAAAGGGTTTAAAAAAGTATCAATTTTTCCCAATACACAAAACTATCTCTCATCAGTAGGCCCAAGAAAACTTGGGTTCAAAATGTCCCAGCACTGTATGGGCGGGAGGAGGATAAAATTTCCCCGTCCTGCGCTCCCTGACCCCAACACAGACAAAAATGAAGGTCAGCTGTTTACAGTAGTGTGTTCTACTCATCACAAATAACTAAAAATTAGAAAGAAAAAAAAAAAAAACACGATGCTGGGAGAGCACTGGGGTGATGACTGGCTGACGGAGTAGAGTAAGGCACTTCCTTGGAGAGAGCAGCATCCCACATGCCACACAGGCGGCAACTTGCATGTTCTGGCCAAGACGAAGGACTGCCTCAGAAGCAGATGGGACCATCTCAACAGCAGGGGAAGACACAGGAGGTAAAACTTGGAGGTGAATTCTACACAGAAGTGGTTACTCGGTCAATGGCGTGATTGACCTCATTTTTGTTGGAATCCAGTCCTTTAGCAGCATTCATGTCGTTCCGTAAATTCTCCACTGTCTTTTTCATGTTCTTTAACTCCCCGGGGTGTGGAGTGGCTCGCCTCAGAAGTGTTCTCTGAAAACAAAGTGGAGTGAGTGTTTGGGTTTTGTTCCATTCTCTTGCAATCACACAGCTTCAGCTTCCAGGCAGCTAGCATTCCAAGACAAACCTTACCTTCTCAGAGATTAGGAATGAGAGCAGGTGGGGAAGCTTTCTTTGGTGCTAGGCCCATTTATCAAATGCCTACCAGTAGTAAGACAGAATTATTTTCAGAAAACTTCTTAAAATATGAGATTAGTATAAGTTAAAAATAAAGTTTTAGACTCTCTGGTGGTGCAGGGGTTAAAGTCTCAATGATATCAAGCTATCTATCGCCAGCCACTGTGGCAGGCATGAGGTTAAATCCCCCGCCAGGGAGCTAACCGACATGGCACAGCAGACCTCTCCTGTCTTGCCGGCTATTCTCCTTAGCAGTGCATTTCAGTAGATCCTCCTGTTCTGATCCCCACTCTGTCTCTGGTGAATCCTCTCATGCCCCACACCTCTGGCCTACACCCCTGTCTTCTTTGCATAAGTAAATAAAAATAAATCTTTTTTAAAAAGTTCTATGAACAGCGAGAAAAAAAAATGAAACATTTATAAGATTTAATTGTGGGGTGTGGAGGAAGAAAAAGATAAAAGGGGGAAAAATTCTAAATTAAAATCACTATAATGTTCTACTATTACCCAAAATGGTTCTGGCTTCTGTCAACCCTGGAGGCATGGGAGTTGAAGGGAAAAAGGAAGGCAGAAAGGACTTCTTTTCTCATTTGGTAATGTGTGTACTATTTATATGATCAACTGAGGAAAGCCAGCATTCTTCTAACACAGACCACAGTGCTGGAAGTGAAGTAATAGGGTATGGGCAATTTTTTAAAATGATAGTTAAAATATTACATGCAATTTAGCTCATAAAATAGTATTTACATCTTTTAAATGCCATGCCCAGGAATTTTACACAGCGCTAACACAGGTTAGCAAAATACTGCAAGGGCACTAGAGAGGCAATGAAGTAACTGATTCCTATTTTGCACTTTACCATGACAAGTGGATAAAATCTTACTTGGTAACAAGTAACACAGACTCTAGGCAATAATTGAAAAAACACCCTTTGTTTTGAGGAATGCAGGTATTCCCTGTAAGCTCCACTTAGGAGAATCTCAGAGTTAAGGAATTTAAAAAGCTAAAGACAACATGTAGGAAGAGATCAAGAGTCATGACTAACTCTTGGAGATGCTGCATGGCTGAGAGACACTTGAAAGTTAGGCTGAGCTGGACTTTCAAATGGATTCCCGATTTTCTGAGAAAATCCAACTCAAATCACAAAACATTTTGCATGAAGGGGAAGGTGATCTGGTTATGTGAAAAGAGTAGTCCGGGCGCGGGGCGGGGTTGGGGGGGTGGGGGGTGCAGTGGGTTGAGTGCAGCGCTATGCAGCCTCTGCGGCGCGGGTTCAATTTCAGCCAGACCCACATGGCGTGGCAGACCTCTCCTGTTGCGCCCACTGCTCCCCTCAGCAGTGCTTTTGGTCAGTCTGCATATTCTGGTCCCCATTCTGTCTCTGGTGAATTCTCTCACCCTCCCATGCTTCTGGCCTGTACCCCAGTTCTTGTGAAAATAAATAAATCTTTGAAAAAAAAAAAGAGAGAGTAGTCCAGGGACAACAGAAGTCAAGCTGAGTTACACCAGGAAATGTGAATGGAACCCACATGGCACAGATATAAATGGGGGGTGATGAGGGGCAGGAATTGCTTTCATTTGCAAATTTCCAATTAGTTCTAAGGAAACAACAGGGACAGGAGGGCAAATTATCATAAAGAAAGAAAAAGTAGCACCATAAATGATTCAAACAAAAGCCCAAAAGTTCCATTTGCCTAGTGTACATCTGATAAATCAGTACCGAGAGTTTTATTTCTAAATCTTTAAATGCTGAAGGCAAAACAGGGAACAGACTATTTGGAAATAAAAGAAATCCTTATCAGGTGCCATAGTCAATCCTTGAAGGACCTTTAATTTTGAATCTCCATGGAGATCAAGAATCTCCATATCCATACCGTTTCATTGTCTTCTTCATCTTTTTCATCTTCCAAAAATCGGATTGCACTGACTCTGTTTACTGCACGCTCATTCCAGGCTTCGTCGGAGACATCATTCACCAAGCTCTCCAGCGCGCCACAGCGGGGCAGGTTCTCTGTGGTGACAAAGACCACATCAACAGGGAACTCAGGCTGCTGTGACTGGCAACTGCTCTGCAGTAAATCTAATGTCAAGTAGGCAAAATCCACAGGAGAACCAGGAGTATAACAACAAAAATAAAGAGGGCACACCATTGTTTCAACCTATCTTGGCTTTAAAAGAAAAAGTCCTGGGCCTCCCCTGGTGGAGCAGTGGTTGAGCGCTGGGCTGCGAGGCTGCCCGCAGCCTCTGCAGCACCGGATATTCCCTGGCCGATGGCGAGGGTCCCACAAAAAAAAAAAAAAAAGAAAAAAGAAAAAGTCCTGTCTTGGCTTTAAAAGAAAAAGTTGGAACAGAGTTGCCCTTTCTTTTCAATAATGCATAATTCTATTTGAGATCATATAAAATATCTGCTAAATTAATGTTGAGTATTTCATTACAGAATGTCATAGTAATTCCGATTCCTTTCTTTTGCATAATTCTTTTCTATACTACCTTCCAAAACTGTCTTATGATAGTCTGGTGGCTACACATGATGACACGAGTACTTTCCATAGTTACAGGCTCTTGCGCATTTTCTCTTGGGGTCTTAAAAGCTCATCTACAAAAGTTGAGACTGGCAAGGTGATTATGGAGTCCTCGCACTTTGGGAACTCCTATTCTCTCAGAACACTCTAGTTTCTCTTTTATCAAAACCAGTTCTCAGCAAGAAATTTATAATAGCTATCTGATGTTAGTGCGAATATTTTTGAAACATAATTTACAAAACAAAGGTACAATGACTGGAAACAACCCACTGGCTTAAAAGTAGTTTACCAGTGATGGTCAACACTAATCCACCAGACCATAGGTTTGGATTTTAACTAGCTCTATAGCCTACAATATTTTGTATTTTCAGCATTAACTATAATTTAAAACCAAAAGGATATTCAAGGAATTTGATGAAAACGGCACTTTTTCTGCAAAAGTGCAGAAAAAGAGGTGACCGATAATGACCTCAGCAACAGGGTTGGCTTTGGGGCAGATCAGACAAAATACAGATGAGGGAGTAAGTGGCCTCACAGGCAAAATGCACAGGAGGCAGACATCAGCTCCTACTAATTCTTGTGGCCATCTGAATACTGTCCTTGAGTTAAATTCACCTTGGCAGCTAGGTTCAGAAGGCAGCTGAGGAAGTAAGACACAAGTTAAAATCTTCTCTCCCGTGGTGTGGTCTGTGTCTGTCTGGAACGTGAGCAGAGGCTGGGACTGGTTGTCAGATAACCACAGTGCCTTCAGCTTCAAGGTGGTCAGTGAAAGAGGCAGATGTAGCAACCTAATTTAAAATAAAAGGAGCCATCAGGACCTCAACTTGGCAATTAAGTCCTGTTTTTTATCACAAACAGGAAAAAAAATTGTAGCAGTTTCCTGGGATTGTCTTCAATCTCAGGATTGAAGATTTTATGTCTATAGTAAAAGATTTTATACTTATATTTGATTTACTCTCTCCATGTGGAGTCTTCAATAGGTTACTGTGCTTCCCTTTTTTGCAATCACTTCTCTCATCAGGAACTCGAAGCCATAGGACAAAAAATGAGGAAATTATAAAACACGTTATTCAGTCTTGACTAGGAGGTTTCAATTTAAAGAGTAAATACAAAAATCCAGTGTGGAAGGAACCAGAAGCCTGAGTTCCTCCTACTTCAGTGGCAAATGACTCACTGACAGGACTGGCAGGCAGCAGCGGGATGACATGTTTACAGCAGCTCATGGCTTATCAGAAAGAGGAAGGAGATACCTGGCATGCTGAAGAGTTTAAGTTGCAGTTAAAATAAGGATTAAGACCAATTTTAAAGAACATCATCTGCTTTCTATAGGGAAATAAGTTCAGGCATTCTTCTTTCAACCTTCATCTTTCCATTTCTGGAAAGCTCCTCATTCTCGGATTCCCAAGTGATAATTACTATCAATGTCAGATAGTTTGAGTTTCAAATGATTTAGTATATATTAAAGACTTCAAAAATTTTAATATGACACTGATTAATTCTATATTTATTTTTACACAAATATTTGACAGATTGGCTGTGGCCAGTCAGATCTGTTTACTAAAGATTGCCAGAAGAACAGGGCCTCCCTGGTGGTGCAAGGGATTAAGCACCATGCTATGAAGCAATCCGCAGCCTCTGCAGCATGAATTCCATCCCCGGCCGGCCAGGGAGCAACCCACATGCACAGCAGACCTCTGTCTCGCCCGCTGCTCCCCTCAGCAGTGTACTTCGGTCAATCTGCCTGTTCTGTTCCCCACTCTGTCTCTGGCGAAACCTCTCACCCTCCACATCTCTGGCCTGTACCCCAGCTCTTGTATGCATAAATAAATAAATCTTAAAAAAAAAAGATTGCTACAAGAACAATCATGTGCTCAGTACTTGCCACCTCAGAACAGTGGTCCTCAATCAGGGGTGATTGGACCTTACAGGACACTGACAATGTCTATAAATATATTTGGGGGTACTATTAGCATCCATTGAGTAAAGGGAAGGAAGGAATGTTGCTAAGCAACATTCTACAATTCATAGAACAGTTCTCACAGAAACCACCGTTCAGTCTAAAAAGCTCCTAGTTCAGAGGGTTGAAAACACTGTTTTAATGAAAGCCAATGCTTTGCATAAGTCTACTATTTCACTTTGAAAACAACCAAATCCTCTGTAGATACCAGAAATATAGGGTTTAAAGAATCAAAGTTACATTTGATCAAGTATTTTCACTCAAAGGATAGCTCCATGTCTTAAATTAAGGATCAATCTTAGAAGTGACTTCATAAGCTAGACTACAAGGAACTAATCACCCTATGTTAACTACAATATGAATTACACTTTCTTAAATCTCTGGCCCATTAATTCCAGAAGAAATTACATAACAGCATATATTCCTGGGGCTTTTTCCCTTAAAAAACTGTAGATTTGGGCTTCCCCTGGTGGCGCAGCAGTTAAGCGCTGGGCTGCGAAGCTGCCCACAGCCTCTGCAGCGCCGGTTCGAGCCCCGGCCACCGGCGAGGATCCTACATGGCACGCAGACCTTTCCTGCTGCCCGCTGCTCCCCTCAGCAGTGTACTTCGTCAGTCTGCCTGTTCTGCTACACACACACACACCCACACACACACACACACACACACACACACACACACACACACCCGCTCTGGCTCTGGTGAACTCTCTCACCCTCCTGTGCCTCTGACTGTACCCAATGCTTGTATAAATAAATAAATAAATAAATCTTTAAAAAAAATTGTAGATTTATTTCCAGTTAACATACCTGGGAGAAGTACCTATAGAGATTACCAATAGATTAATATTGTATTATTACCAATCCATACCATTTCAAATTGACAGACTTAAGAAAACTAAACTAGAACTCTGTAGAATTATTAAAAGCAGCTGTATTCCAGCATTACAAAATAAGCCTAAATAAATATAAACACAAACTGGTTAAGTTACTTTAACAAAGTAAAAAAAAAAAAAAATGATCAAAGAGACTGTTAAAACAAATGCATTAACAAACTTTTCTTAAGAACAATTAGCATTTTTTGCAGAAGATTTCTAATGTGCTCATTATGGAGGTGAGAAAACACTTTCTTTTCATCACAATTAGTCCAGAAAAGCTGGCCCAGCCCCACAGGTGTCCTGGCCCGGGGCTAAGCACGCATGGTGGAACTGCACCGCACATGGGAGTCGGGCTTCAAATCAAAGCAGCCGTGAGAACCGTGTAAATTAAAGTATCCTTGGAAAAACTCCAGGCATCAGATACTAACATATTGCACAAATGAGTGTCAGAATGGATGTCATATGTGTATTTTTAAATACCAACCAGAATCCACGCAATGCACTGACATGTTCACACCATTAGGAGGACACAGAGGCTTTGAGAGAACAGCAGATTTTAACTTCTCTTCTCATACTGAGTTACTGCTTCTTTCAGTGTGATAGAAAGTGAAATCTCTTGTGCTTATACAACAGATTACTTCTCCCTCTCTGCAAAGGCTGCTGCACATATACTCAAATGCCCATAAGACATGTATTTGCCAGGCATGGAAATTGCCTTTTTTATTAAAGGAATATCTGGAATATACTGTGAAAGCTTAAATTACATTCAACTCCACATTGTTTTATTGAACAAAAGGATAATTTCTCTTGAAAGTCTATTCCTAGTTTTTGGCAAGAAATCCATAGTCAGCATCTCTACCTTTCTTAGCCATGGGAGCAAAAGGAAAAAGTCAACATTCAAAAGCTGGCATAAAATACAAGTCTTCAAACATGGCCACCTCACCTATTTGGATGAATACTGGCTGCCCAGCTGAATGCTAAAGCAAATGTATAAATAAAAGGCTAAACAGAGAAACAATAATAAATAATAACTTCTAAAGATGACAAATCACACGGTAAAAGCTAAAATAAATTACTAGACTCTACAACAGCAGACCTTGTAATCACATTCAACCAAGCCATGTAAGATTAACGAGATGAGCAAACACCAGTTTTCCTACAAAGAATCAAAGCACTGACATGAAGATGGCTTCTGCTGGCCGAGCACATACGACACACAAGCTTGTGCACAAGCGTCTTGTGAACAGTGGTGATCCCACTGATATCAAAGAGAGAAAAGACCTTGTTCCTGCCCAGGCTCACACAGATTCTGCAGGCCAAGCAGCGCTCTCACTGACTCACTGCAGTCTGGGGAAAAAAGACACATGCTTCTCTGTGAGTGAACCATCCCAGACATCCATGCATGTAGGAAAAAGAAAAAAATGCTTACTTTCCGCAGGAGTTAATAATGCATTTTTTGTTTATTTGGGTACCTTCTGTACACTATAGACCGAACACAAGAAACCACAGTCCCATTTGTACACATCTCCGTGTTCTATTTAGGACTACATACACCAAAATAAAAACACTGCAGTGGCTATTTCCATCAATAGTATAAGGACTACAGCAAATGAATTGGTTCAATTCACCAAACCGTGAGCCTCTCATTTCCAGTTATGACTATGACCAGCCCAGATGAAGCAACCTTTCCCACCTCTGAACTTCATGACAACTGCTCTGTCAAATTTATTTAACAATAAAAAAAGGCCTATTAATTAATGTACTAACTTAACCTATGGTTGAATTCTTATTACACAATTGAAAATGTTTCTTACCTCCTATTAGAAGTTCTAAGCATATTTTTTACAACTGTTTTAATGATATATAGACAGAGCATAATCAGTGAAAAATTTAAATATCAAAATATCTAAAGTAAAAGTAGACTATACACTCGAGTCTCCACACCTCCCTCAGGAGAACTGCTATTAATATTCAGGTATATTGAACAGATAAGTTCTTTTAAGAATAAAAAAGGGGTGCTATATACTGTTTAACACTTGGTACTCTGGTAACTTGGTATATCACTTGGTATCCATGTCACTTATTCCTTATTTAATGAAGGAATCATCTCAGTCCTTAACTGGTTAGTATTCCAGACTGTGGCTACACCATTGTATTGTGTTTTACCTTTTAATATTTAAAATAACATTTTTCCAACTTTGGGATATAATTGTAAATAAAAAAAGTACAATGTGATATACTGTGAAATGATTACCACACAAGGCTCGCAAGTTAACACCTCCATCACACCTAATGTAATTACTGTTTTGGGTGTGTGTGTTCGTGTGTGTGATGAGAACATTTAACATCTACCCTCTTAGCAGCTTTCCAATATATAATACAATATTGTTAACTATAGTCACCATGCTGTATAATAGAGGCTCAGAACATAAACACTTTATAACTGGAATTGTGTTCCTTTAATCTAAATATCCACATTTTTTCGACCCCTAATCCCTGGCAACCACCAATCTGCTCTCTCTTTCTATGAGTCTGATTATTTAGATTACATACAGTATTTGTCTCTCCCTCCCTGTCGGATTTATTTTATGCAGCATAATGCCTCGAGATCCATCCACATTGTTGCAAATGGCAAGATTTCTTTTGTTTCTCATGACTGAGTAATATTCTATTTTGTATATATGTATACATGTGTATACATTTTGTATACTGTACATGTGCATGTATATATAAATGTATATGCACATCACATCTTTATCCAGTCACCTTGTCAGTAGACACTTAGCTTGTTTCCATGTGTTGGCTATGGTAAAAAAGGCTGTAATGAACATGGGAGTAGAGCTATCTCTTCAAGATTCTACTTCCATTTCCTTTGGATATTATACCCAGAAATGGAACTGCTGAGTTACATGATAGTTCTACTTTTAATTTCTTGAGGAGCCTCCACACTACTTTTCCTAGTGGCTGCGGATATTTACATTTCCATCAACAGTGTATGAGAGTTTTCTTTTTTCCCCACACCCTCACCAACACTTTCTATCTCTTGTCTTTTTTTATAACAGGTGTTTAAATAAGTGTGAGGTTATATCTTTAATATTTTTATTTAGCTTTTTGAACAATAAAATTCAAAGGTAAAACTATTTTCCCATCGTCAGCCCTGTTTCTAGTATAGTACTGGTACTCTGAACATTGTAAGGCAGATACTCAAATGCCCAATTTGTGTGGCTGGTAGAAAGATCAGAGGAAGGAGGAGTCTTTCTCTAAAAACTAAGGAGTATAGAGACATCCTGCAGGGGAGGGGGAGGGTGTGGGATCAGAGGGAGGGAGGAGCACAGGGGACTGAGGTGATGGTGCATGGGTGAATTGGTGGAGGAAATTCTATGGGGACTACACCTGAAAGGGGGGAGGTGGGGAAGCAAACATTGTTCAAAAATGAACAATGATGTAAAATGCATATAAATAAATTTAAAAAAATAAAATAAAAATTAAGGGATAGCTGATGATACAAGATGCCTCCTGTTCCTTTCACAGAAGGCTAGATGTTTAGTTTTCAAGGGACATCTCACAGTCATCCTTGCTGTAATTTATTCTATCCATTATCCTTAAAAAGGAAAGCTTTTGGAAACTAATAAGTAGTTTCCCTGTTGCCATTTGCCACTTTTATATGTTTGAGAGAAGAGGCAGAATCTTCTGTTGAATTTGGTCTGATTTCCCATGGTACGACTTTTTTTTGCAAGTTAAAAGGCTGACATGGTAGCCTTTTTTTTTTTATTAGTTTCTATACTGATACTCTAAATAAGTGTAATTAAGTATTTTAATAGGCTTAAAATTTGGTCATGAATCTATATATCATGGATTAAATGACACACTTAACTGACTCAGATGACAGCCATGCCACTCAACTTTTTAATGGGGTTTTCTCCACCCAGTCGAAGCATAATAAAAATTAAACTTCCCCTTCTTCTGAGACCTGGAGAATGAGACCTCTACTCAGGTGGAAAAGAAATTTTAGATAGCAGAATACAAAAATTTCAAGATTTGGTGATGCACATTCATGCTCACCAGTGTAGCAGGAATCAGGGGAGGTTTGAAGTCATTGAGTTTCTACTGCTGGAGGCAAGAGAGCAAGGGAGAATAATCCTTCTCATGCTATAAGTTTGTTGTTTAGCTCAACAGAATATCAACATTCAGCTCAACAGCATCTTGAGTTTTCAGTAACCATTTAGTGGTCTAAAGAATCTATCAAAATGTCCTATAAGCACTTACTTTGAAAAGATGAACATTCCTTGAGGTCATAACTCATCTCCAGGACCCAGATAAACACTGCTATTTATTTAGCACTGCTGTCCATAGTCCATTAGCAAGAAGGAAAAATAGGGACTTGTCTCTAACATAAGTGAACGGCTAATCAGAACTTAGGACACAATCCCCCAAACATTCTTCAGATGGCTGGTATTTACCATTTAAACTCACTGATTATCTTCCCCTGGCTAAGTACAATTTTTCCTATCTCAAAAGCAATTTTTTAATTCATTTTTGAAATGAAGCAGGTGATCTATTTCACAGTGGTCTTCCTTATACTCAGCAAAACTAGGATTTTTAACTTTTTAATTCAATCAACAGATATTTACCAGGCATCCATTGTGTCTCTGGCACTGTGAAGGCACAAATGATACAATGACACATGAGCTATATCTCACTTAAGGTAACTTTAAGTTAGGATGGCTACCCACACATAAGCAAGCAGTTATTACATAGTGCTGTGAGTGCTCTCCTGGGAATAATTAAAATGTGCCTGCTGAGAGACAAAGGCATGTGGAGAAAATAAAAGCTTGAGTGATAAAGAATAGAGAGTCCCAGGCAGAAAGAACAGCTTGTGTAGGTTTAGCAGGAAGGAAGAGCACGTGACATCTGAGATATTAGTTCAGAATGATTGAAACAAATCCATGTTCTACAAAAGTGAAGAGAAGGCACGTTCCAGAAACTGGTGAGCAGTCCAACATGATCTCTGACCACAGAACTTGAGAAATGGTGCTACAATGACTTTGGCAATACCAGTCTGACGTTCCACGCTTTTCACGGCCTATGAATCGCTCAGCAATTCTGACATTAACTATAGATCCTCCCACCAGAGAAATGCCCCAGAATATAACTGAATTTACAATTTCAGAGGGCTCAGAGTCACTGGCAGAGCACATCAAGACCCCTGGTTAAAATCTAGTTCAAACTCATTCAAGCTCATTTTCCAGAAGAGGAAACTTTGAGGTACAGGACAACTTACAGAAGTTAAGGTAAAACCTGTCTCCCAGCTCTCAGGCAGTGATCATTCCTTTACATCAATGCACTGACATCCTGGAAAGAATTTCTGCAGAAATATTTACTTTAAAGCACCCTATGCTCAGGGTTTCCATGACCTCCTCTACTTCACCGGGCTAAGTCACTCTAGTTCCTGAACTAGAACTCCCAGGGCCTGGGTGATTCAACTTAATTGGTATAGATTCTGCATGACGAAGCCAAGGCAAGACTGTGAAGATGCAAAACAAAGGTGGGGAGGATGGACAACTCTCTCTAGTAAAACAAAACAGAACACACTTACTTGTTCCCTGCCACGTCCAGGACGTGAAGCTCTGTTGCCTGTGACACTTCTGCAGGTATCCGAGTCAGTCTATTGTCACGCACGCAGAACACAGTGAGGCTGCAGCACCCGCCAATCTACAGTGGAAAAGAAAATACACCTTTTGCCCAGGTCTTTTGAAGGAGGTGGGGTAGGAGCAGAGTATCTTGTTTATCAAATGGCATGACAAGGTTGCATAAAATTATTCCACAGGATTTTAAGGCTCACTGATGCCCAGTGAGCATTTTATTTATGATTAAATAAAATCATACAAAATCCTGAAGAGTCTAAATAAGTTCACAGAAATTTCTGTAAAACAGTAAACACACATGTTCTAAATTAAATGTAGAAAATAAACAAAATGTTCAATCTGAAAAGAAAGTTAATTTCCACTGTTATCTAATGAAACTGCATCTCTTAAATGTATTATGCTACACAGGTCTGGATAAATGTTATTTAATATGGGAGCTCAAGAATTCCAAGTTGCAAGTTAGGTCAAAGATATCTCATTCACACACACAAGCACACACATGCACACACACGCACACACACAGAGACACACACACAGAGCTCTTTGACCACCTGCTCTTTATATTACCTTCAGTGTTCTCAGTGTTACAGTTTATTTAAAAAAGACAGTGTGAGAGAGACAGCTAACAGATGATATAGTACATTAATGCCCATGGCATAATTTTTAAATAGTTTTTGGTCATTCACAATTTAATTTGGTAACTTCATTTTCTGTTGACAACTGACAAAATCAACAGTGTCTTAGCAAACAGTGAATTTTATAAACACATACACATTAATCTCCTCAGCTATGACCTGATGAGAAAAGCACATATGTCAACATATGCATTTATTCTGAAATTGATGACCATTTTTTTAAAATAAGCAATTCAAAAGGTAATTGAGCTTATATGAATCTGATCTTCAAAAAAGAACACAAATGCAAAAGAATTCAGTGATTCTCTTGAACAAATTGGCTGTGATATTTACAGTCAAGAAAGCTGAACCACAGGGGGAGGGAGCACAGAGAAATAGCTGGGTCCCAGACACAGCATTCTGCAGGGCTCCACACAGCAAGACATTCTTCTTAAACTTGCTGTCCTAGAGTGACTGCTAGGGAAGCTCATGAAGGAATCTATTGATGTCTGACACATGGGAAAATATTGACAGTCTCCACTTGGGGAGGGGCAAGAGGCTCGAATCTGCAATGATATTTGAATATATCTCCTGCTCTTTTCTATTAATATATGTTTAATAAGTATGTATAATATCTTAAAAGCAGAATACATATTGATAAGGTTACTGCCTAGTTACCCTCATGCACAATCTTAGCAGAGCTTCTTTTAGGAGTTAATATAAAGATCCTGAAATAATAGATTTAATCACAGGATTTTACCATAATGAAAGTAAAACATAAATAAACACAAAAACAGACACTAACATTTTGTTTCTGGTCACCTCGAAAACTCCCAGATATGGAGGAAGATTTGTAGACAGTCCCCTTTATTTCTAGTATTCCTATTTCCCATCCCAGCCAAAATGTCCTCTAAAACATAGCTTGTAATTTTGATACTGCTGCATCTCACAGAAATGTTTTTTGTCTTTCTTTCTAAGTCTTAGCAACCACCCAAAATTAACTAAACACTCTCTACTCCACAAAGTCTTCCCTACACTAACCTCCTGACAGCACAACTATCTTAAGAAGATTCTTCAGATCCACTGAGCAACTGTTGATTGGCAGGTGACCACATGTAATCAGGGTACTTGGAAAGTACAGTGTTCATCCTGTCTCCCCGTGTGGGAAGCCTGTCTACCTACCAGCATTTCTCATTTAGGTGTATTCACAAATGTATGGTTATTTATTTACTTACTAGTGAAAGGTTGCTACTTAAAAGTTATTACCTGTTTCTGGGTGTAGTAATGGAGACAACAAAACTATTTTCCTAGTATCACTAGAGTGATACTCATATTTAATAAATATAGAACCTCTCATATTTTATACATGTAGGACCTCTCTCCTATTTTATAAATATAGGACCTCTGCATTGTGTACTAAAAGAGATGTGTGACAGAAGCTTGTGTGGGGTCTGACATGGCTTCCCTGCCATGAGGAAGGAAATCATCAGTTGCCCAGGAATTTAACAGAAGGAAAGGAATCAAACCCTGATCTTTTTTTAAGGACGGAGTCTCTGTGATAAATTTAGAAAATCCCAACAAAGATGTACTCAAGGGAAGGAAGTCCAAGGACACCTTCCGTCTCATCCTGCCCCATGTGGAGAAGTGCCTGCCTTGAACTTGAGGTTCAGGAGTGGCTCCAGGGGAAGAGGACAGTCTTCTAGGTCAGCACACGGCTGAGTCTGGACACCCCACAGCAATGCCATCCTGGCCTGGGTTTTTGGTACTCCAGGGAGACAGAGCAGATAATATCAGTTGAATATCCATTTACATGATCCTCCTGGTGGAACAATTTGCTCCTGGATGTTGCAGAGCCAAGAATCCCTGGTGATCTGGGCCATTTTGTCATGAAGCTGTGCACGCCCTCAGCCACTGTGAGGTATCTGTTTAGGGACACTGTCCCTGAGACAAGTAAGCATTTTCAATGTGTATCACAGGTCTACACTGTCTATTCAAAAAAACTAACTACTTAAAGTGGGTCAGAGAGCGCTCTAAAAGTTGTTAGAGGGATGAAAGTTCTAGACAAGTTAACATTCCTTAGGTACTGGGGGGAGGGGGGGCAGTAATGCTAACTCCCAGTGGAATGTGCAGCTCTCCACTGTGTTTACATCTCATTTATTTATTTTCTTTTTTTCTTTCCCACTCTAATCTCACACCCATTTGAGACGTCAAAGGGTGGAAAACAATTGCATTTAAGAGCCTCCTAGGCGCTCTGGGTTGTCAGTAGAGTGACCTCCTGATCCCCATTGTCTATGGTTTTTGAAAACAATGCCAACAAAGCCAGCACAAGAATTTGTCTGTCTGTCGCACAGTGTGCTAGGGAAGCCTTAATCACCCCTCAAAGGCACAAGCTGTCCCAGGCAAACATTCACACAAACAGAGCTCTCCTTCCAAAACAGCCAGGAAGGGATGGCTTGAAACTTTGACTTTCAGAAAACACTATTAAACAGTCAAAACCGTAACTCAAAACATATAGTTCTTTATAGACGTCAAAGGGGAATGTGGTGCAATGGAGGGAGTGGATACTTTGAGATCACACAGATATGAGTTAGAATTTAGGCTCAGTCAGATGTTTTGTGGGTTTGGACATGTTACTTTAACCAAAAATAACAATAAGGATTAAGTTCAATGACACGACATATATAATTTAGCAGCTATCACAGAATTGGGCTTACTGCTGCCGCCAAATGAATAGGGTAGCTATGGTTTTTCTAAGCAGTGAAAATTCCAGATCCAGATGATGAGTGCAATTAACACTTCAGCCACCTACCACATTGTTCAAATTGTGCAGATGCTAGAAAGCTCTTCCTGAACCCGCCAGAACTTCTTAAAAAAATGCCTTCCTGTATCACAGTGACCCTTCATACTAGCAATAGTGAGGACCTGACATGAGTTCAGTATTGTATTGTATATGTGTGTGTGTGTATGTGTGTATACATATATATATATACACACACACATATATATATATATATATATAAAATTCATATGTATTTTCACTTTCTCTTTTGGATTCAGGAGGCAGTTTACCGGTTCCTAAGTGGTCATGAGGATAAAATATCTATCACTTAGAAATTCTGGGAAACAGTGTGACTGTTTAAATAACTTATTACCACTTATGTAGGAAGCTGGTATTTTTAAACCTCCCTTAAACCACATAATAGTGCCTTCCCAGAATACAAGGGGTGGGACTTGGATTCTCTAAAAACTACAGAATGCAGTTGAGAATTCTTGTTTAGCTGTCTTGTGTCTCTTAATTCAAGATGATATTGTCCTTAACTGTTTGGCACTGATTTAATCCATCTCAAGGAGATGGGACCAACGGATCACTGAGCAAACCTTTAGTCAAGTCACCTTTTACTAGGTATTAACTGTCTGCAGGTGACATTACCTTAAAGAAGATAATCAGAATTAAAAAGAAAGTCCATACTGGCCACTTTTGTCTGCCTATATTCTACTTTGTGAATGCCTGCCAGAAATATAAAGGAAATTTTATTTCCTTCAGTATCTTTATTGTGATATTATTTGTAACAGAATTAAACTCACATTTGATTGGCGAAAAGGAAAATGTACACTAAGCAAAATCTGGTCTAAATACAATTTGAAGAGAAATAGTATGTGTAATTTTAGAAACCAAAGGCTCTTTTTGCCTTTCCCATCATCATCTGCGGTATATTATTGAAATGTTCCCTACCTCATAAATATTCTGGAAATTGTGTGGCTTTGGGACTCCCTGAGTTGTTGGACCACTGACATCAAAATATCCACTAACAGCTATGGCATTCTTCTTTGCTAATTATAAAAAACTTATGTGACTGGAAAATAGAACCATATATAATCACACATGAAAGCACAATGAAAAAAATAACTCAAAACAAATCCTACCACAAAGAGAAAATCAGTATTAACATTCTGAGGTACAATCTTTCAGTATTATCAGTATGCATTTGTAATTATACATATATACGTTAACAGAACTAGAAACAACACTATGGCTTTTAGTACTTTTTGTTCACATATGAAATCAAGAACATTTTCCCATGTCATTCAATTTCTAAAATCATCTTATTGGCCACATAATTATTTCATCCTACAGATGTACCCCAGATTTCTCAACAAAGAGTCCACATTAGTTCTGCCATTTCTTTGCTGTGTGATATTGGGCAAGTTTCTTAACCTCTCTGAGTTTAGTTTTATAATCTGGTAGAGGCTGATAATGATTTAGCTACACCTCGTGGAACTATTGGCAGAAAAATAGACAGGAATAAACATAAAAGCACTTGGTAAGGTGTTGGCACATGTTAGTTGCTCCTATGTACACTTTAAGAAATATTTTTGTGCACATTCTTAGTGTAAATCCTTCACTGTTAGGTTAAATTTCTAGATATGTAGGATCTTCTTCTCTGTGATGCCCCCGGGCTGCCATTACCTTCTTAAAGATCAGAACTCTAATTTTCATGAAGACAAATCCATCAACTGCCTCTTTTACGACTTATTTCCTCTGTCAAGTTTAGGAAGTCCTCTCCATCTTGACATGCAATAGTCAACTGTATTTTACTTTAATACTTTTAGGTCATACTGTCTTGTTAGTTGTCAAAAATTCATTTTAGAATATGAAGGGAATTTACACAAAAATAATTTTAAACTATAATAAGGAAGAAATCGAACCACAAAATGAACCTTCTATCACCATGGATATTTCTTAATATTATAATACTATTTATGGGTAATTAACATTTACAGGTAACCTAATTTAACAAAAAAAAAAAAAAAAAAAAGGTTGGTCAATGATCTTCAAATCCTATCTTGTCTTACTTGAATGGGTAAGTGTGACATAGTTAGGTCACTTTCATTTTGACTTGATAGAAATAAAAGACTGGACTCCAAACTTGGATATATGCTTAATTTCTTCCAGGCAGAAAGTCTTTATAGTCCAGGTTGGCTAACAGTAATATTTGACTGGGGAAAAATTATAAAGTTATGGATCACTGTTCATCATACCCATGAACACATATATCCAACTCCCTCTCTATCCATGAATCATACTGCAACACAGTCTCTTCTGAATTCTTTCCTCCACCAAAAATAAGGCTTTAGGGAGCCTCCAGAAGCATATATAAGTAACAGGATGAGGAATAAAAGACACAATAAGTGGCTTGAAAAATCAGAAGCATGCCACATGTAGCAAATAAAGCAAATCTAGCCTTTCCATTAGAAATAGAATCGTGCCGACAAACCAGAATTTTGTGAAGACAGATGGGCTGCCAAATTATGCCTTTCAGAATTTCTGAATAACTTAAAATATAACTCACAGAACAGCATTCTTTTGATAGAGAATAATTTGAACAAATCTGACAAACACATAACAAAATATGGTTCCAGGCCATGCAGTCATTTAAAAAAAAATGAATCTAGAGGAAAATGTCCAATATTTTACAATGAGGAACACACAAAGCAGTCAGCCGATTTGAGTCTTCATGCATTTAAGAAGCAACATGGAAGTTAGAGATGGAACTGTGATCTGAACAATACTTACAAGATGACAAGTTTACCTGACTTTTCTAAATTTCCAAGCAGCTAACAATTAAGAAAACAAGAGACATTCGTTGATTTGCAAATGTTTACTACAAATAACACCACAAAACACAAACATAATCTGTTATTATGACCCACATAGTACAAACATTTTCCCCTCAACCATTTGGAGGAAAAAAAAAAGATAAATAAATCTTGCTAAGACTAAGGATCTATGATTTAATATTGACAATATACAATACCAACAAATTAAAAGAAAAAGACAAAGAAAAAAGGAACTACACAACGTATCAGACCAATGGCAATTAATACAACTATGGACTTTTGGCATATAAATTGAATTGGTCAGCATTTCAGTTTAGATATGTCATGCATGCAACATACTTATTTAAGAGAAAGTATTAAAGTCTTGAAAGAAAATCCAATCAGGAGGGTGCAGGATTTGATCAAATGGTTTCAAGCTTGGAGTGAGAGCACACTTGTGCACAGACACAGTCACAGGTGCTATTCCCCCTTCTGCTAAGCCACATACACACACACACACACACAGCCACAGGGCCTTCCACACTCACTCACAGAGACAGTGGCACAAAGGTGCTGTCCAAACCAACATGACGCAATTGGAGGTCAGGAGGCTCTCAGTGGTTTGGCGACTCAGCAAGATGGTCAGAGGCAAGCACTCAACCATTTCTGCTGGGCTACCAAATTGTGAGCCGCAGGAGAATTGGAGACATGTGGACATGTGCTCAGTGCATTTCCTACCGTGGGAGCTGAGTGTGTGTGAGGAGGATGAAGGTACGCAAGGAAAGAGTGATTCCTAAAAATCCAAACATCCTCTGGTTTACCAGGCAGTAAAAGAAGTATACTTTTATACCTTTTTAAAACTTCAGATGCCAGAAAACAAACCACAATTTCATAGAAAATGGGTAAAATGTGATAACAAAAATGCTTTGAGGGTGGAAATATTTTCATATCATGAAAAGCTGTGCTACAAAAAAAATTCATGCCTCGAGGCACATACGAGGTAGCACCAGCTAAACAGCACAAGTGTCATTCTCTTAAAGTGAAAAGAGGACTAGTGCTAAAGGATGGTGATGGTTTTACAAAAATACACTTTTAATGCTCCTGTCTAGAACGTGTCCTTTTGAAAGTGAGAATAAAAAGCAAGGAGAGTTGGGCCTCCCCTGGTGGCGCAGCGGTTGAGCGCTGGGCTGCGAGGCTGCCCACAGCCTCTGCAGAGCCGGTTCGTTCCCCGGCCACCGGTGAGGGTCACACACACACAGAAAAAAAAAAAGCAAGGAGAGTTAGGGGCATGTGATGAAACTTTGTGGGAATTTAAAAGAGGTCTCTTTACCATTTACCTTGAAACCTACTCCAAGAATGTATCAATTTTCTAAAATGCACATTAATACACTTGGTATATTACCAGTATTTTCTAAAACACTACTAAAGATAATTTGACCTTTCTTTACCGAGTTGATATTCTGATATTCTGATGGAAAGGGTGGCTGAACCTATATGACCTGAGCAGCCAACTTTTGACTAGCCAGTGAAAGAGCAGGGAGCTGGATTTCAGGAGACTGACCTTTGGAGCCTGGTTTTAGGGACTCCCAGCTCCGTGAGCCCTGGCAAGGACAGCTTCTCTCTAGTTTCTGTTTCCTCATCTGTAAAATGAGGACAGCCTCACGACCTCAAAAGCTGTTGTGAGGAGTCAATGAATTAACATACACGAAAACATCTAGTATGGTGCATGACACTGAAAAGGAAAGATGTAAATCCTTTTGACTTCTCTGTGTGCATTTATGCGTCCAAACTATTACCTATCTGCATGTGCTAATCAACAAGAGTGAAATTAATATTCAGAATATCAACTGTGTTTTGGTTTATCACTTTGGTTCCAGAGATTAGAACTGAAATGTGTTGATTAGCCTAAGTTTCAGTTGAGTCCCAGTTTAGCTGAGATGTCGACTTAAGTCTCTCTGCTGGAAACAGTTTTATTTAGATGCCAGGGAGAAGCCTGGGACACCCAGGACTGAAGACCAAGTTCAAGAAAGGAAAGCAGAAACCAGGCCAAATTCAGACACCTCGAGAAGTGCCCTAGGAAAATAAGAACCCCTCAACTTCTGGCTGGTTGGGTGGCAGCTTTGAAAGTATGTCAAGATATATGATGGAATGGGTCAAAATGGAGAAACACAAAGGAAGCCACCCCTGGCCGGTGATCTGTCACACAAAACCACGCCTTTTTATATGAGGGTCTGGCAGAGGGGAAGGAGCTCACCAATAGCTCATTTGATTGAGGTGGGTGGAGGGGAGAAGAGGGCTTACATTTAGTTGTAGGCTATACTAATAATTAAAAAAATCAGGCTCCATACTGACTTCCTCCAATCACGTTCTCCTTGTTCCAAACAGAAAGCAAGCCTTCTTTTTAAACAACGCATTACAAGCCTCCTTGTTTGATCTACTGTGGGCTTCCTCCTCATTCTTTTCCTATTCACCTCCCTTGCCAGAATTTAAATGCCTCTAGGTCTGCACAGCTACTTCTCCACAATGGATGGTGGCTGTCTCTTTTCTCCCACTTGGAACACTGACAGAAATATCCCAAGAATCTGGCCTTCGCTACCATTTGCCTTCCTCTACAAGAACATCTCTGTGAAGAGCTCATTCACTCTTTCTCGGATGTGAACGTTGCCCAGTACAAGCGCCTAGAGTCAGGGTTGCGTCAAGAACCGTTCTTATAATTCCCATGGCTTATGAAGCAGTTTAACTGTATTAAACTCAATCAAAATCAAAGTCCTATGCTTCCTCTGCCAAACTCCCGAATTATCCATTTCTGTCCATGGTGTCAGCATTCTGTGATATCAAGCCCAAAACCTTGATCTCTGTCTTTCTCCCTTTTAAAATGTGACCAGTTCACCTTCGCCAGCATGGTTCACAATCAGGGAAACTCACCTACTCTCTTTAATGTTGTTGACATTCATTCTTTCATATAATTCCCCCAACCATCTCTATATTCACAGATGAGAGTGTGTATGTCTTTAAATGGTACCATGTAAGATTTTAAAGTATTTGACATTTTGATCCCTTGTGGGTTGATATTATTATTTTATAATTATTATTATGCTAGTTTGCAAAAAGCACATACCTCTTTTGGTAGTGACACCAATTTATTTCTGTCTGCATTCAAGTTGCTCAACTTCTTAAGTTTTCCAATGCTCTTAGGTAAGGTCTGTTAAAATAATGTTTTATTATTAATTTAACAAATATTTGGAACATGGGTCACAGTAAAAGATCTTTTCAAGGACTTAGGAATATAAGCTCATCCTATAAGAGAAATATTTTTTCCTGAACATCAGGTATTTGGGGTTTTTTTTGTTTTTTTTTTTTTTTTTAAATTAATATTTTTTAAAGATTTATTTATTTATTTATTTATTTATTTATTTATTTATTCAAGCCCTGGGTACAGTCAGAAGCACGGGAGGGTGAGAGAATTCACCAGAGCCAGAGCCAGAGCAGGGAGCAGAGCAGGCAGAAGGACTGAAGTACACTGCTGAGGGGAGCAGCAGGCGGCAGGAGAGGTCTGCGCGCCATGTGGGACCCTCCTGCGGTGGCCGGAGAGCAGCCGGGGATCGAACTGGCACTGCAGAGGCTGCAGGCAGCTTCGCAACCCAGCGCGCAACCGCTGCGCCACCGGGGAGGCCCAACATCAGATATTTGTAAAGATTACTTAAGGAATATGGAATTATAAAATTTATATTTGTGTTGAAATGATGTCATGTTGCAATGAAATGAAATCAGAAGCACAGCGCTGGAACAGAGAAGCACTTAAGTAAAGAAGAAATGAAGGCTCTTCAATTTAAGTAAGTGAGCATTTACCCTCAAATTTCACCCTCAAAATTCACCCCTTCCCTGCCTGCACCTTCGAGAACCACACTGAAATGGTAGCTTCGATGACTGTGGAAGTCAGAGGGCCAGGGCAGGGAATGAGAACCCGGAGCAGGGGTGTCTGAGGTCAGGGAGAGAGAGCTGTGAGGAGAGCACAAGGCCCTGTAGGAACCAAGTCAGAGTCCACAGGGACTGGGTCGGGGGGTGTCTTCATAAAATCCATAGGTGAATATATTTTTAATAACTGCTGTGACTATGATGTGCAGGCCAAAAACCATGACGCAGGATTGGAAGACTTGGTCTTCTTAGCCACACCTGCCAGAGGAGGCTGCTTGAGCTACCTGAGGAGAGACTTTGCTGGGCTCCCCCACCAAGTCTGTGTCCTTAGTCTACTCTTGCTATCTTTTTTGGCTCTTTTCATGTAAAGAACATTAGTTATTCTTTTTATAAAGAAAGGAGAAAGGGATAAAAGGAGAAGTAGTGTAAAAAATAAATCGATAAGATGGAGTTAAAGAAATAAAGAAAGGGGGCCTCCTCGGTGGCGCAGCGGTTGAGCGCTGCCCGAAGCCTCTGCAGCGCCGGTTTGATCCCCGGCCTCCAGGGTAGGGTCCCACATGGCGCGCAGACCTCTCCTGCCACCCGCTGCTCCCCTCAGCAGTGTGCTTCGGTCCTTCTGCCTGTTCTGCTCCCTGCTCTGGCTCTGGTGAATTCTCTCACCCTCCCGTGCTTCTGACTGTACCCAGTGCTTGTATAAATAAATAAATCTTTAAAAAAAAGAAAGGTACAAAAGTAAACGGAGGAAAAACAGTGTCCTCAAGACAGCTAAAAGAGAAGAAAAAGGAGATAAAAGCAGAGGCAGGAGTAGGAAGTGACAAGGCAACTGAGATTTGGAGTCCCCATGCCAAGCTAGTCTTGGCAGGAGGTGCGTGCCCCGCCTCTGCCCAGGGTAGGGGAAGAGTGGTCCAAGTGCTCACTTCCACCCCTGACTAATAGGGCAGGGTAAGATCATAGATCAAAGCCCATCAAATACCATTCTCTGGCTAGCTTAAAAAGAACATTTCTCCTACAACCCTAACCAAGGCTCTCCCTGGCCAACCACATATCTTTCCCTTCTCTCAAACTTTCCCCACTTGTTCAAAGAAACTAGACAGAACAATGTTTCCTCATTAGTCCTTGGACACCCTTGAATACCCGGGCAGAGGCATCAGCCATGGAGAGTGGTTTACCCCCCACCTCCCTGGGAGGTCTGTGAGATGTCAGTCAGTCCTAGTACTGAAAGCATGGCAAGAAGGACCCACTCTCTGACAGGAAATCTAAATGCCATTTTCTTCATGTAAGCAGGTTAAAAACCAATCACCTTAATGTCAGACATTTGTTTCACAAGTCTCTTTTTTAGATGTAGCATGTGGAAATTTCCACTTAGTCCATTCAAATTGCAAATAAGTAGACTCTACCCTAATAAGTATTTATGATATAGAAACCACACTATAAATAGCCATTTGCATGCGCAAACCACTCACCAGGAGCCGGTTTTCTGTAAGAACTAATTCAGTGAGGCTTTCACAGTCCCCAACCGCTTCAGGCAACTGTGTGAGTCTGTTCTGATCCACCTTTAAGATTGACAGTTTCTTTAGTTTTCCTGTAAAAGTGTTATTTAAACTCGTTAGCTACAATTGTATTCAAATAATCACTTGGTATTTCCTAACTGCAGTTGTTATTTCTTTTAAACAGTTATTTGTTTTTTTTCCCCCCTCATCCAGCTTTTCAAATTATGAAATCCTAGCTCACTAAAGGTTGAGAGTTAAAATAATTTGTTCAGAACATGAAAAACAGTCAGCAATTATAAGCAAATCATTTTAAAAGTCATTACCTAAAAATATCCTATCAAAGTCAGAAAATTTAAAGAAAAGCAAACAGCTGGTTCATGATGGATCTTTAAGAACAGGAGATGCTTCCTGTACAGAAAAGAGACTTCAAACTTATTCCAGGAATCATCCTTTCTAAAAATCAATAAAGTACAGTTTATTTTGCCACCTATAAATGAAATGACAGTATAAAGAAGAACCTTATAATAAACTATTTATACATATGTTATGTAACAAATTTTTAAAACTCTTTCTGATTCTTTCTTTTCACCCATTTCAACTAGAAGATATAACAAATCTATTCCTCCTTCTTCATGACAGCCTTTGAAATGCTTTAAGTCAGCCATCTCCTGCCTCCTACTTCTTCCTATTCCCAGAAACGCAACATCCCTAGTTCCTACAATTGCTTTCAGATGCCATATAATTCTCAGTGAACCTTTCTGCCTAGCATCAAAATCCCCATCCATTTTCCAACCAGCTTTAACCAAAAGGCAATGTCCATATTCCTGCTCAGTTGCTACTATCAGTTACCACTTTCATCTTGACTAGATGCCAGAAAGGAAGTGGTTTTCTGTCACACAGCTTCTCTAAGCATTAAAAATGGTTCAAAAACTTCCTTTGATGTTAAGTTAAATGAAGGTCACAGTCGGCAACCCTATGATGACTATATGGTTAAATACCGTTTCTTACAATTTTTAAGTGGCTTTGCTATAATGGTACTGCCAGTTCACATCTGTTTATACCTTTTCTGTCTGTACTTATTTTTCTCATCCTGGACTGAATTCCTTTATGGTATAGGAAATGTCAGGACTAATTTTTTTTAAGGAAGCAAGCACAGCATGGTTTAAATAAATCAGTATCCTCAATGTGCTAGAGAAGATTCCATTCAGGCAGACCATTCTCCCTTTAATAGCCCTTCCCTAGGTCAAAGTTACTTTGTCATAAACATGTTCATATGTCTGAAACCTATTCTATTATGTGGGTCAATCCCTACTGAAATCATTGAAGTAAGATGTGAATGAAGTAGAAATGAGTCAACACTGGCAAGTACTAATTGCTACCAAAACAGGATGACAGAAAAACTTGCATAGAGGAAACAAATTGTATTAAACATACTTTGCATTACTTCTTTAAAAACAAACAAGGAGTTAACAAGAGGAGCCACGTCCCCAGCACCTGGAAGTGGTGACCAATCGGTCAAAGGGCATTCCAGATGGTCAAGACAATATCCAGCACCTTCAGTGATTTTCCATACGTACCAATGCCATCCGGAATCACTTCTAGTAAGTTCTGAGAAATGACTAAATCCGTTAATGAAGTCAGGCCACTGATTTCTTCAGGAAGTCTTTCCAACCTGTTTTCAGAGACATCTAGGCACAACAGGCTTTTCAGATTTCCTATTTCCTACATCAGTGACAAAGATAAAAAAAAAACTCATGCTTCAGCCTGCCATAGTACAGACAAAGACAAAGCACAGAATTTGTTACTGTGATTTCTCCCAATAAAATCCCAAAGCAGCCCTAACGTTGTGTGTGTGTGTCTGTCTGTGTGTGTCTGTGTGTGTGTGTGTATTGAATCGTGAAGACTGGAGTAAATTTCCAGACCCCTTCTGGTGAAAACAGGAAGCGGAATAAATCACATACGCAGAGTTGGGAGGGATGACAAGCCCTCTAATATCTAGGAAGTAGGAAATCATTCTCACCTAACAGATAAAGACACATGCAACAAGAGAGAACAAATGATTTTAGGAAGTTACTTCAATGACACAATTAGGAAAAAAAAAGAAAAACAGGCTAGAATACAGTTCTCCAAGTTTGCGATCAATCACTAAGTAGCTTACAGATCAGGGTGACCCTGAAATTTTCTTAAGAAACCATCTATTTTATATATCCTCTGCCAGGTAGTACTTATTACAACAAACATCCATGCAATTGCTCCAGTAAAACTGAAACATACTGATCCCCGCACACCTTAGCATTTAACATTAATAGAAAAGAGAAGCAACTATGCTGCTTTTAATGAAAGCAGTCTATCCAGATTGGGGAAAGCGCCAGTGGTCTAACATTCTACTCAAGAGTTATCTTATACTTTACATTCACAAAACTATCATTTTCTTTCTTATGCTGCCTCCACTTTCCCATTTCCACTGGCATGACATTAAAGTTCAGCTTTCACGCCCCATTCACCTGAGCCTGTTAGCTCTGGTCTTGGCTTCCCCACCCAAGTCTGTTCTACAACCTGTGCTCCCATGTTTCCCTCCTAGAATACAGCAGCTCTAGTCATGTAATCAGACCATCCTCCTACTGAAAAAAATCCACATAAGTACAAATTCCTCAATGTGTATTTAATTGTTCTGATCTATTCTTTCCATTCTATCTACTACCTTAAATGTATCCTATGACTGCCACTCCTTTATTTCCTGTTTATAAGAAACCAGATAACACCTCTGTTCATTTCAGATCCCTGAAGTCAGTCTACCTTTTTATTTATTCATTTTAACAATGTCTTTCTATCATTTTCTTTGTGTCATCATTGAAGACAGGAAAATGATCCTGATTTATACTGCCTGATGTGTTTAGTCCTGGTTTAACAGAAGTTTATACAAAAGAGGCAAATGAAATTTTTAAGTAATTCTGTATAACCTGATCATTGGAGCTTTGCATTCAGGGGGTGACCTTTCAAACTTATAGTCATTTCTAATCATTTATGCACATCTGTATACACATATTCTTCCCTTTTCATGTCTCATAAACGTGATTATTTTCCTGATAACTTCCTGGTATTTCCCCCCCATCCTTTGATTGCTGTATTAACCGGGATTTCCCCTACATTTCCTGCAGAAATCCAACTACTCATCAAATTCTCACCCACATCAGTTGTTGATCCCATTTTCCCAAATGCAGCCATCCAAGACCACAGAAATATTCATTAGTTCCTTAGCTCCAATAGTCATAATAAATGATGTCATGTCAATGCTATAACTACAATTAAAACTTTATTTAAGTACTTTCCTCTAGTGCTGCTCTGCCTGCATGGACGCGGCATTCCCCACCTAGAGCTCAGCTCCATCACAACTGGATCTCACAGCTGAGCAAAGACAGCACCTGTATTACTTTAAAAGCACCTAGACCATCATGAAATATATTATGACTTTAAAGACTGTAAGATAGAACAAGAAATAAAATTTAGTAATAATTGGAGAAAAGGAAATAAGAAGGGAACACGCCTACTTTTTGTTGTTATTATTGTTTGTTTTCTAGGTTTCTCTCATATCTAACCAGAAGGCAGATTTGCTTAATAAGACAATACAAGCTGGCTGTGTATTTAGTTCATACAAGGCTCCATTTCCTTTGGAACTTGGTTCCCACACTCGATAACAGTAGGAAAAACCTGAACATCATGACTTGCCAGCTAGCCCATAGGCAATACTGGAAAACACATAAAAGGCTTTAACACTGCTTTTACATCAACTATTACAGGGCAAAATGTGGTCAAAATTATCCCGTAACACTTGGCACATCACAAAAGTGGGAGAAACGCATACCACCAGAATCAGTGGGCCCAGTAATTTACAAATTTGCTGGGCTTGAAGTAAGCCATATGGGTAATAAGAATGAAATAAAATACAGAATTCAAAAACTAAAATATATATTTACCATCTTTAGAAATGGTGGGTTAAGTTTTGCATTTTTTTTTTATGGCAATGCAGCATGATGAATGCTCAGTGTATTTTTCCAAATGTGCTTTTTTCAACCAACATTTTTGGTTCTTAGAATCCCTCTTACAGAAAATCTCACATAGAAGCAGTGAATACACAAGGCCGTTGTTTTATATTCTGGAGGAGACAGTGTAAAATTACCACTTACCTGAGGTAATTCTGACAGCTGATTCCCATCCAACCAGAGATCCTTTAAGTGTAAGAGAGCTCCGATTGATTCTGGCTAAAACAAAAAAAATAATGTTATGACAACTAAGATCCAATTTTTAATCTTGCATTAAGAAAGATGGATTCCTAATTCTACAATAATTAGGTACCATGGCAAATAATCTGCTGAAACTTCTCAAATATCCTTCCCACAAATGCCCTCCATTTTCTCCAAGAATGTTAGTCATTTCCACTTATGCCCATCACCTCTAATCCTGAATCTCCCCACCCCTGAATTACAGCACTTAATTAATAATTAAACTTGCCTAGAAACCTTAATGTAGAATTGCAGCTACGAAAAGGGGACTGAGAGGAGCAGGTGGAAGGGGAAGGAAGCAAAGGGGAACAGGGACTCAGTCTGGAAGAGGATCATGGGTGATGTGGTGGCAGGCAGTGTGATAACTTACATTTATAGAGATGTGAACCCATAATCCTAAAACATACATTGCTGCAAATCAACACATTACCTCACTAAGCATAAAAAAGAAATGAGTTAAACTATGTGAACTAAAACACAGTCTTTAATTCTCCCAAGCTGTTGATATATATCTGAGGAAATACTGGGTTATAAGCACACCCAGAGAGCTCCCCTCCCAAATTTTGCGACCATTTACCACTTACAACAGTTAACTTCAAATCTCTCTTCAATACAGACTTACCAAATTATATATTTCATTGTTTCCTAAATCAAGTTCTTCAAGTCTCCGCAGTTGGGTAAGAGAGCTATTTAAAAAAATAAATAAATAAAAATCATCTCTTAGAACCCAGAAATGCTGAGTAATATAGTATTCCTCAGTTGGACTAGTTTCTAAAAATAAGATTTATTTGGATTTTATGGTAAACCTACAAAGGAAGGGCTATTAAGAGGAGGCTGGCATCTGTGACACTTTCCAAAAGACACAGAATCTCTTTGACAAAACATCTCTTTGGTTGTTTTTTAATGCTTAAAAAATTCATTCAGTGCAAAATTCTCCCCTTGTTTTCCCCAGAGACTCACTCAGGAAGATATGTAAGAAGATTCTCTCTCAGTTCCAGTGAAGCCAGGTTATAAAGACTAGAAATAAACAGAAGGAAAAAATTTAAGGAAAACTCCTGAGATTCTTCCTATCCCTGCTCCCCAAACACACACTATACAATAGCAATTCTTAATAAAACTTTGTACATCACTTCCCAGAGGAAAAGTATCTGTGCCCACCACCAATAACAATATAAAAAAAACAACATAATTTCTACCTCCCAAATTTTAATGTTCAATTTTTAAAAAGTATTATTATTATTATAAGGTACCCACATTCAAATACTCTGAACATTTGGGCTGTGGAAATAATTCACTAGGAAACAACCATTCCTGGAATGAAGATAGACACTGAGGATTGTGCTTCTAGACTTTAGAATGTCAAAAATGTGCTGCTGCCATAAAAAAACAGCAACGCCTTTACTCTTACAGAGCCCATAGCTTTTCTTCCAAACATCAGAAAGAGGCCATCCCTCCCTGTTTGACAGTAGCATCCCAATACTCTACCTAAGAGCATAAACTCACAGAGCACGAGGCAGCAGCACTATGGAAGTAATTGCCAGTTAGCTGCATTAGAGAGAATGTAACAAGGCACCTCACAAGTGCCTGAAACCCAGATAGGACCTGTCAATAAATGGCAGCTATAATAAAGTGACTTTTATTTTTATTAAACCTCAGAATGACACTCTTCTCAGCAGACTGTCCTGTCTCTCGGGTGTGATCCATGTCTGTGAGGAGCGTAGTGAAACACAGATGTTCTCCCACACACTGATTATCGGGGCCTAAAATCTTGACAGGCAGTGGCAATTCTGCATCACCAGAAACTCGTACATTCAAATGATGCCAACAGTGGCATAATGTATTGATTCAAAAACAACTGAGTAGTCTATTACTCAAACAGACACGGTACTGAGCTCCATACCAACTGAAAACTCAAGCTTTTGCCGACAGTAGCATCCAGATTTGGAAGACTTTCATTTGTAAGCACAGAGAACACAAGTAATCAGATGTTATTCTAACACTCAAATCTCTCTAAATCGTCCATTCTCCTTCTAATATAAGAGCCAGTGAGATGAATACTAACAAAGCTGGTTTCCTAACATCTAAAATGTAAGTTTGCTTTGCATGAACAGCATATATATATATAAACCTAAAGCCTCTGTGTCTGAGAATGTATTTTAATTACACTATGTTCAGATTCTGTATCTCCTCCAGTTTTAGAAAACAAAATAATAGTTTCCACCATTAAAGCAAGAACAAACTTGGTTTGTTCTATTTGTTCTATCAAACTTGTTCTAGGTTCTATTTTATAAATATTATCAATATGAACTGAATACCAAGAAAATGTCTTGTTTCTCAAGAAAATCTCACCAGGTAGGAAGCTACAGTTATCTAATTCTACTTTCTCTGGTCAAGTTACACAAAAGAAATAATGCAAAGGAAAGGGAGGTAAGAAGTATTCCACTCAAAAGCAATCTATCAATAAGGCTTGTATGAAACATTTTTAAAGTAATTGTAAATGATTTAAAATAAAGAACTTTAAATTTTCACGTAAAATCTGTCAGTTTTATTGGAGAGAGGGAAATCATTTGGTTAATCATTTCCACATTTGTGTTTTTAAAATTACTGACAGAACTGTCATGTTATCTTTTTTTTTTTAGAACTGTCATTTTATCTATTCAACTTTCATTACTCTCACACCTACTTTGACAAACTCAAGATCCAATAATTAAAAAAAGGGGGAAATCCCTCTTTCCTTCAAAAATTTTATTCATTGGGCATCATCAAAAGCATCTTAAAAGGCAGCTTTACACAGGTCTGACTGCTAAGTGTTAACCAAGGGAGGCAGCCTTGGTCTGAGGCTGCCGACCTGAAAGAGAGAACAGAGCAGGGAACAGGGCCCCCCAACCCCCCACCCAGGGCAGCAGGCACTATGTAGGGCCCCCATGTGTCATCTCATTTCGTTGATAACAGCCCAGAACACCAATGACTTGATGATACTACCGTAACACAATTAGGAAAGTGAGATTTTGTGTGAGGTCCACTAGACATCACCAAAGGCACAATTCAAATCTGGCCTAAAGCCCATTCTCCTGCCCCTCTACCTTAAGTCGCTTCAATGGTCTTCCATTCTTTTGAACTCTCTTTACAATATAAAATTTTAAAAACACTGTCAATTTTTTTCAGTTGAAGTGACACTGGTTTATAACATTATATGTGTGTAGGTGTGTGGCAGTATAAATCAACACCTGTAAACACCACATTATGTTCACCACCAGAATTCTAGCTCCATCCATCACCACAGAATTGCTCCCTTTCACCTGGTTTACTCACGCCCTTCCCCTTCCCTTTTGGTAATCACAATTTTTTTTTCTTATTCTAAACATTTGTAGTTTAATTTTTCATCCATTGGTTTACATTCTACATATAAGTGAACTCAGACAATATTTGCCTTTCTCTGAGTTATTTCACTTACCATAATATGACAGGATTGCATTTTTTTTAGCAGAGTAGTATTCCATCATGTGTATATATATACCATATACTCCTTTACCCAATCATCTGCTCATGGGCACTTAAGTTATTTATAACTCTTGACTACTGTAAATAATGCTACAATGAATGGGAGAGAGGTCATATCTGTCTTTGAATTAATGTTTTTAAATTCTTTGGCTCATATGGTATTTCTATTCTTCATTTTTTTTTTTTGAGGACTTGCAATTAAGAAAAATGCCTACCGGGCCTCCCTGGTGGCACAAGGAGTTAAGATGCAATCTATGAAGCAATCTGCAGCACAAGTTCAAGCCCCAGCCAGGTAGCTACCCACATGGTGGGGCAGACCTCTCCTGACTTGCCTGCTGCTCCTCTCAGCAGTGTATTTCAGTCAGTCTGCCTGTTCTGTTCCCCACTATGTCTCTGGTGACTCCTCTTAGGCCCACTCCTCTGGCCTGTATCCCAGTTCTTATATGCATAAATAAATCTTTTTTAAAAAATGCCTATCAATTTCAGGCAAACAAGTTTTACCTTCTTAACCACAGCAAAGATTTTTGTTGAACTGTCATTTTAAAAATATGACACACATTTATAAAGTATCTTTAAATTTTGTCTTGAGAGAAGGTATAAACCAGTTACTAAAATTAAATAATACTTGAGCAGAAATACTGCAAAATGCCAGATTCACAGATATACAGAACTTAATAATAATATGTTAGATCAAAAGCATAAAGCCCATCCCATCATAACACCCAAATATAATAACCTGTTAAGTAAAAAAAGTTCTAACCATAAAACATCTTAATTTCTAATATTTTGGAATATCAGATAAAATATGGATGTACAGATGTTACAAAATATACATATTTTGTAGCCTTACAAACATAAAAATTAATTTAAAATAAAATATATGATATTTTTAAAAGATTTTATTTATGCAAGAACTGGGGTACAGACCAGAGGCATGGGAGGGTGAGAGACTTCACCAGAGAGAGAGAGGGGAGCAGAACAGGCAGATGGACCAAAAATACTGCTGAGGGGAGCAGTGGGCGAGACAGGAGAGGTCTGCCGCTCCATGTGGTTATCTCCCTGGCCAGCTGGGAACTGAACCTGCACTGCAGACGCTGCGGACAGCTTCAGAGCACTGTGCTCAACCCACTGTACTACTGGGGAGGCCCTATAATAGACTTTCTGAAGTAAGCTTTCTGCATCAGTTTAGACTACTCAAAATGAAGAACTCAGACATTTAGTTAGACTCCCCAGACTCAGTGCCAAAAGTGAACCCTAAACTGGGCACACTGGTCTGAGAGGTAAGAAACCTGAGGCTCAAGTTCTGGTTTGACCCTCACTGACCAGCTGGATTTGCTCAGTGGAGGTATTTCACTATTGTACCCCAATTTTCCCTAAAATAAATATAATCCTATCTACCATGGCAGTTAGAACCTAATATATTTTCCCTTCAAGTTAGCAAGGCCAGTTTATACCTTATTTCCATGAGACAGCCTCTGTCCCTGAACACAGTTGGCTAGCTTAGCAGTGTGATCAGAGTCTTCTGTAAAGACTATTACAAGATGCCATTAATCCCTGGAGTCATCTCCACAATAGAAGGCCTCCTTGAAGGACTAGAGCTGCTGACGCCTGTCAACTTTTCACCAACCACACAGTGCCCTTAATTGTCTGTGTGCTGACAGGGAACAGAAAGTAAAGAAACAGTTTGACAACTGACTCCCGCCTCCTAAGTAAGCTCAAACCTCAGGGTATGATCTAAGCTAGTCAACTGATGTAAAAGAGGATCTGCCTGAAAGAAGATATAAACCAGAGACATTAATACAAAGTTGAACAAATAGTCTTCAGAATATAGCATCTTCAACCAAACTTCAGGACCCTGCCTGTCCCATCAAGGAAACATATTCAATTCAACTCAAACATCTCTGCCTCTCTTCTAGCACCTAATTAAGAACACACTGCTGAGAAAGGCTGAACATGATTCTGTCTACTTCAGAGGTCAGGTTCATAATCACTGGATCAAGAAAAACAAGGAGATCCTAACAATTAGACATTTGCTGTGCAATATGAGAATTACTGGTCTTTCATATTCGTACTACTAATTATGATATTGGCAGTTTAATATATGACAGATACTGTGGTAAAAGCACTACAGGTTCCCCTTTTCTGGATGAAAAAGAGAAAGCAGAGAGAGGGTACCTGAAGAAGGGCTTATATCACTGGTGATGGACAAAGTCAGGATTCACCAAGGAATCTGCATTTTTAATCACACACCATCTGCTGTCTCACTTTTTGAGTTGTTGTGTGAATTCTATGAGCAGGTAATTAATTAAATATTAGTAAGACACTGTCAGTATTAAGTTTTCCTCTCACCACTGTCCCTCATCTAGTCATCTATCCAGCTTCTATGGTACCACTGAGACCCTTCTTGTAAGAAATCACCATTTTTTTGTTATTTATTCATGTATTTATGCAGTTTTCTTTTATGTAAAGCCATAAGACATGAATATGTAATTTTATCTCTATTTTTCATACAAAAA